GCTCCGCGCTGCCCCCGCCCGGACCCACCGCGCTGCCCCGCATATGCCCGTGGCGGGCCAGGGGGTGGGAGGCTCCGCGGGGAGGGCAGCGCGCGGGGCCTGCTAATGCCCCAGGCCCCTTAAACATTTTTTTGCTCCGCCCCCTTCTTTGGCTCCGCCCCCGTCCCGATATTTTACACTTGTAATCTGGTCACCCTACTTTCCACCAGTCTAGGAAGATTTTGACCCTGGTGGGTAGTGACCAGCCTTTGTCTAGTCTGTCCCTGTTTGGTCTGTAAACCGAGCTGAAACACATCAGAAGGCACAGCATGTGAAGCTTTGTGTGTGGTATCACCGCTGTGCCCGCTGCCATGTGCCCCAAGAGCTGTAGGCAGTGTCTGGCTGATATTTGTGGGCTGTTTTGAACAGTCTCTATGTGTGTTGCCAGAGAGAGGAATCTGTGTTGAGGTAGGAGAGCTCTGCCTGTAACGAGTCGAGGTCAACACCTATGAATTCCAGGCGCTGCACTGGAGTGAGGGTTGATTTCTGGGCATTGATCTGTGGGCCCAGTTCTGAAAACAAATGCTTTGCAGCTCTGGAGACTTGGTGAGCTCTTGGAGAGACAGGACTCTGAGGAGGCAATCGTCCAGAAAAGAGTAAATCATGACCCCTGGGGAGCATAAGTGGGTGGTCACCACTGAGAACCTTGGAAAATACTCTTGGGGCCGATGATAGCCTGAAGGGGAGTACCCTGTAGTGGTAGTGGTCTTGTCCCAGAATGAATCTGAGAAATCATCTGTGAGTTGGTAGGAGTGAGATATGAAAATACGTGTCCTGAAGGTCAAAGGTTGAAAACCAGTCTCCCTGTTCCAACACTAAAATGATAGTTGCTCAAGTGACCATCTTGAATTTTTGAGCCTTGACAAACTTGTTGAGAGCTCTGAGGTCTAGTATTGGTCTCCAACCTCCCTGCCTCTTGGGTATTAGGAAGTAAGAGTAGAACCCTTTGCCTCAAAGATGTTGAGGTACCGGTTCTATGGTTCCTAACTGGAGGAGATGATCTACCTCTTGTTGTAGCAAACTCTCATGAGAAGCGTCCCTGAAGAAAAATGAGAAAGGGTATTGTGGAGGGGGCAGGAAAGCAAAATGGATAGAGTACCCATTAGTCTGATATTATGCGCTCCCAGGTGCCGCAGAACACTGCCAGTCAGTGGCCAATGGGTGGGTAGCGGTGGCCAGTTGTAGCAGTTGTGGGGAGTGGTCTAATGGCACCTTGACCAACACGTCAAAATGGATGTTTGGATGTGGATGGCTGGGATGAGGAAGATTGTGGGCCAGATGGTTTATGTCTTGAAAATTTAGTTTTTTTTCTCTGGGTCTCGTAGTAACATTGAGCTGGGTATTGGGAGGTGCATGGCTTGTGATGGGCTGCAGACTAAATTTTCTCTTCTGTCCTGGCGTGTAGATACCCAGCAAATGGAGAGTGGCCTGAAAATCCTTCAAGGTGTGAAGAGAGGCATCAGACTTTTCTGCTAAGAGCTTAGTGCCCTCAAAGGGAAGATCTTCAACAGTTGACTGTATCTCCTTCAGGAAGCCCAACAGATGGAGCCAAGAGGCACACTGCATCACCACCACAATCGAGATGCAGCTGGCCAGAGTGTCAGCTGTATCAAGGGCAGATTGTAGTGTTGTCTTTGCTACTAGCTGACCCTCCTGAATGATGGCCTTAAATTGGTCGCGATGCAGCTTGGGCATATGCTCAATAAAATCATTCAGTTCTGAATAGTTTACATAATCATATTTTGCCATGAGGACTTGGTAATTTAAAACTGAAGTGTGGCTGAGGAGTACGCCTTCCTCCCAAAAAGGTTCAGATGTTTACAGTCCCTATCATAGGAAGGGGATCTCATCTGGTGTTGATTGCCATGAGAATTTAGAGCACCCACCACAATGGTGAGGGGCGGGAGAAGAGGAATTATTGCAGTGTGGGTAGGCCTAACTATGCTAACTTTAATGTAGGTAGTGCGGGTAACAATCATGGGGTCACAGACCCTGACATGGGTCAGCAACCCAGCGGGCTTGTACTGGGGTGCCGAAGCCTGTGCCACCACTTCCTCACTACCATTGTACCCATGCCAGCTAGATTAAAGATAGAGTGGGTATGCCAATTCGCACTGCAATCACATCTTCATTTGCCGAGTAGATGTATCCTGAGGGAGGGACACAAGAAACAAAAGTGCTAATATCAGAAGAACAATTTCTATAGGATTGGTGAAAATAAGTCTTAAGGAATGTCACTCACAAAGATGGACAATTCATAAGTATAAGAGAGTCCCTGTTTTACCAAAAACAGTTTTTTAAAAAATCCAAAAGGTTGTTTTTTCGGGGGTGGGGGGAGAGGAGTGGAGAGTAGGGTTTTTAAAACACACACAATATTCCTTTTTATACCTATTCTGAAACATAGTAAACCTGGGCTCTTGTAGCAAATGTTGAAATCAAAACAAATTCTTTTTCTTAGTTTCCAAAGGCTTAAAGTTTGGATTTAAAAATTAAAAACCAAATACACTTCTTTTTTTCACAGATGAAAAAGAAAAAGAAATAACCTACTTTAAAACCACAATATAACCAGATTTAACTTGAAACTAAAATAATACAGTGGTCCAAATTCAAGAAGCTATCAAATAAATGGGCAATAAACAAGAACAACAATAAACAAGAGTAAAACCCACTCAAAAAGAGAATCTTCCTTACTTTCACATCAATAATATACCTGGATATCTCGATAAGAAAGAAGCAGGTTTATGACAATGTCAGAAGTCAGGACTTCTGTATTATCCATACGGAGCTTAATCCTGGCCAGCTCCTTTGCTAGTTCATCTCCTTGATACTTGTCTCTAGCTTTTCTAATATCATTCAACAGTGTTTCCTTGCAATATGCACTAAAGAAATAAAAACAGAGATAAAGTGTTAGAATTTTCTAAATGGAGGTTTGGTTACAACATTAAAACAGCACTAATATTTCTTTATCGGAATGAGGTTTAAGTTAACTATTCCTTTCAGTTTACACTTTTAAGAAATATTTTATATGAGACATTATTAAATTACAAGTTCTAATTTTTTTAATTATTTACCAGACCTAGTAAAGTAGAGGAACAGTGTTCAAAATAAACACATTAATCTACACATTTATCCTGAAGTAAGCAGAAAGTGTCATGCTAAACAAAGAGACTACAGTAATATAAAACAAAATCCCTCATCTTTGTATGTAATGGAGACTAGCAGCTCTTATTAAATAAACCAACCAGAGCCATCCATTATCTGATTAGCTGTAGTTCACTTAGTGAACATAATGCATACTATTACACAGGAGGCATGCAAAAGCCACAGTAACAACTGTCATGTCTTTTTTCACTAAAAATCAGTTTATATTGCAATGTAGGAAGGTTACGAAAAAAGATGCAGTCTATTTGAAACGTAAACTTGTAGCGAGCAATTACTAAGACCAGGGCTTAGTCACTAATAGCCAGAACCTAACAGGTACTGAGCACATATAACTGCTTTTCTTGTCCAAAAGGAGTTGCAAGTGCTCAGATCCTAAATCCTAAATGTAGAAGAGGAAATTAAGCTCTCTCTTAATATCCACTAATACTGTGATACTAACATCCACAACATACATCACTTGCAAGGTATTCTCATGAGATAATGCAGTGAGGGTCTGAAGAAATGGCCAATGGAAGGCTTTTTCATTTTATTTATTTTACTGTCACTGCAAACTCATGTCTAATTTGTTGCACACTATCATTCCTAGTTCTCATGCACTGTTTCCAGGTTTATGTTAATCAGTTCTCCTTGCGTTAATAAGAACGGACATAGGTGATTTGAAAATTTTACCCTAAGTCACCCAAGTGACTTAGAAGCCCGAGTCCCATGCAACATTTTGACTGAGGAAGGGAATGTGAAAAGTGCAGAAGGTAAAGTGCAGAAGAGGTGCAACGGGCAGTGCCTAGTAAACAAAGGGGTATCAAGATGTGTCCATAAACAGGAGTCACCATGGGACAGCTGAGGCCCAGAGCAGCATTCTACAATTACTATGCAATTCAACTGTTAAAACACTAGTCTGTATGACCACAGTTAATACCATATTGTATGCACACACTTAGTTGGTGCTGAGAAAAGATGGTCTTTGGCTTCAAGACTTACAAAGAAGCTGAGGTATGTCTCTCTCATTACAACACCATGCACTATATTTTATATTTTCTTTTCTATACCCTCTCTTTTCCAAGGGTTGTGTCCGCAGTTCTGACTCTGCTGACTGATATTTTGGATAGTAAATGCAATCCACTGCTGTCATAAAATGGTTAGTTTACTACAACAGCTTCATGACAGAAATATAGTTTAGTTTAGATTAAATTAAGGTATTTATTTTAACACAGGGTTAAACACACTGAACACTGAACCTTGGTAGGGATTCTGAAACCTCTTGCAGAGTAGGAAAAAATAACCACGGGCAGGAAGTGTAAACGTGGCAAAATTACCATGATGTAACGTGAATGTCCTTCAGAAGACAGATAAACCTGTCCATCAGTGGAACACAGAGCGGTCCCAGGATGTTGTCCCAGTTAGGCTGCATGTACTCAGAGGCCCTTCGCAAGGCATCACTTTCACAGCAAAAATAATCAGCACCAGGTGTTACAATGTATGGAATAAAATAGTAATTCCCACTGGAAGCCTAGAAGGAAAAGCAAACACATTCAGATAGCAAATGGAAGCACTGCACACTCAAATTGGATGGAGTGATCTCATTCTGAACCTTTTGATTAATTCCTTAAGAGCAAATAACGGTCAGCTAGGTTTGCACAAGTGTTCACTAATTTTGCATGCCTCCACTTTTGGATGCTCAACTTGAGACACTTTGGGCCTGATTTTCAGGCATGCCAAAAGGACCACAGCTTCTATTGACTTCAGTAGGAGTTGCTTTCTTGAGGGAAGAATTAAGTCTTTATGTAAATATATGCTTAACTGGAAATCCAGATTTTTTAAAAAACATCCAAGTTGACTGTACAGTATACATTTTTGTTTGTTTAAAAAGCAGCAGCCCTCAGGATGTCACGGTGGTGTCACCAGAACTTTAGAATTTAAATAATACAACTAAATAAAAATAACTAAGGTAACTTAAAATTAACTGACATTTTTAATTAAATATTCTGAATGTGGGTAAGACAAATTGTGTAGGTGACAGCTGTCACGATATTGTCACTGTTATTCAGTAGATCAGTCCAATGACAACATAATAAAAGGGGACTGGCAGTAGCATTCTTATAACTGAAAAGACACATTTCATATATATAACACTTTGTTGGGTTTTTGATCTGGCCCATATTGAGAAGGCACTACAGAAAGAAGCAGTTGCTGGGAAGCAGTCACTGTAGTCAAAGAAGAATAAGGGATTAGCTACTGTTGGAGGAAGCAGGTAGAAGGCTCTCTGTAGAGGAGGGAAGGGGAGAAGAGGGGAGATGGAAGTAACAAGGATAAGAGGACCATACATAATATTTTAAGATCCAGAGACCTTACTGCATTCCAGAACGAGAGGCCCAGCTCAGTATCGCCAACCCCAAGCATTCAAAAATTATAACTCAGGCCCCCCAAAATCAGGAGGTTTTAAATAATATTTTAACATTCTATTTGCTTTCTGGTTTCTGAGACTTCAGGGTTCATATTTGCAACCTATGTATCCCCTGCAACCATGAGGGCTGAAAACCTACTTAAAAAAAAAAAAAGAGGGGGGGGGCCAGAGGGGAGCTGAGATTCACGACTCCAGGAGCTGCGGCTTTAAAAACACTATCAAATATTAAGAACAGGAGGACTTGTGGCACCTTAGAGACTAACAAATTTATTAGAGCATAAGCTTTCGTGGACTACAGCCCACTTCTTCGGATGCATATAGAATGGAACATATATTGAGGAGATATATATACACACATACAGAGAGCATGAACAGGTGGGAGTTGTCTTACCACCTCTGAGAGGCCAATTAATTAAGAGAAAAAAAACTTTTGAAGTGATAATCAAGCTTGCCCAGTACAGACAGACAGTTAGATAAAGGAAGATGATGTCTGT